AATATATTTTTTTAAATAGCTCAGTACCCACTTACCCAATTTCATGGAAACAACCGTGAAATTGGGACAGAAACCTGTAAGCGGGTTCAGTTACTCATACAATTTGATTGTTACCAAACRGAGCCTAAAGCTATTGTTATTTTCTATTTGTTTCTAATGAATACTATTAGGGAATTGGTGTTTAGCTCTAGTTCAGTTTATGCAGGTTTTTGTATTAGAATAATTAGCATTTTATTGATATTTCTTGTTTATTTCAAATGTGAAATATCAGGGTTTGTACGTCAAATTTAGGCTCGAATTCGAGCTTGCAAGCTCAATTAGGTTTTTGAAATTTCGAGCCAAACTAGAACTTATCAAATATTTAATCAAACTGAACTGAAACAGGAAAATAGAGGCCATATTGAACTCAAGCTCAAATTTGAATATAGGAGTATTTAAGTCGAACCAAGCCAAGACATGCTGAAGTTTGACTCAGCTCAATTTGATTACACCCCTACATATTGTGTTAAGAAATGACTTGCAAATCTTTTTTGACCAGTCCTGTTCATTATTCACCAAAACACTTTAAGGTATCCAATAAATTCCTCAACCACCAGCTCAAATACAATATTCTTCCAATATGAGTAGAACATGAAAGCCCATTAACCACCTTTATAGCATCAAACAATTGATCATCCATAAAAATAGCTTGTTTAAAATACAATAAGACAATAGAACATCCCATTGCTGTATAGCCTCATGGAGAGACACCCCCCATGCCAAGCAATCTTCGCTCATTGTACATACAGCACATTCCAACAAAAATGATTCACAGCCCATACAGCTGTGAGTCACTACTAACAAAAATGATTCACAGCCCATACAGCTGTGAGTCACTACTAACTATTATTAATTCGTAGTTTCCATATTTCTTTACCCTGTTAATTGAGCATGTGTTGATTTTAAATAAATTTTGTTCACTTCTTGCTCAGACATCAGGATTGTTTTCCTCAGTTCATCAATTTGCTACTAAAACTTTATAGATTCTAGACATGAAACATGCATTCCATATGGGTAAGATTCGCCAAACAGTCGGGGCTACACCAAATTGAAATAGAAGGGGATTCCAAATTGGTAATTGGATGGATGCAATAAGATGTTTGGGAGCCTGGATACATAGACAGCTCAAAAGGGAAATATAAAGTTTAACAAGGGAGGTGGATGCTTGCTTTAAGTGGATGAGAAGATCAGCAAATGGGCTAGCAGATACTTTAGCAAAACAGGGGGCAGTTAGAGAGAACATGTTTTGGGTAGCTTTGTAATTCATCTGGTATTGGTTCAACACCCTATACTAGGGGTTGGTGTCTCTATTTTAAAAATCTCATTAATGAAGTTGCCATTTCCAATAAAAAAACATGTTTATCATTTTATCTCAGAAAGAATAGAAAAATGAAAAGTAAAAGGGGGAAAAAAGAGAAGCACATTAAAACATAGAAAATTCCATTTTTAATCTCCAAAATAACCAACACATTGTGCACACAAGATATGCAGAAAATTAAAATACTAATGGTTGTTGTCAGGATAAGAAAAATGGAATCCCTATGAGTATATGAACAATTCCATAGTGCATTATTGAATTCCATACAGAAATATGACAAGATTAATAATGAATCAAAAGGTACAGAGCTGCAAGCATATTCACCTATTGTCTGGTTAGGTTCAATGACTAGAAGCAATCCCAACCCCCAATGAAGGGCTAGAAAACTTAAATACAAAAAAAAAAGAAAAATAAATTTGACCAAAAGAGAAGTAGGATAGGATGTAGAATATGTAAAGGCAACATTTAGATATGCAACCATCTTTAAATAACCAGATCAAAGAGTTGTTATTGATACAAAAGATGGAAAGGATATAATCCTCTAAATTCTCCATCAAAGAGGAGCCAGAAACTAGGGGTGGGCACAAACCAAGCTTTTCACAAGCTATGTAAGCACGGCTCGCGAGCCTTCAAGCTTATATTATATATAATATTTTTAATTTATATATATAATAACAAATAATTTTTATATGTATATTTTTTTTATATGAAGCTTGACTCATTATCAAGCTCAAGCCAAGCCAAGCTCAAACATACAAGCTTTTGAGTCGAGTAAAATTCAAGCTCATGTCTCTAGCTTGAATCAAGCTCAAGCCCAAACTCAAGCCTGAAGTCTTTCTGGCAAGCCAACCTCAAATAGCCAAATATTCGGCTTGGCTCAGCTCAAATCCACCCCTATCAGAAACCAATATTTTGTAGTAAGGGTATTCAAGTGGTAATCTAAGATTAATCCAGCTTGATTAAGAATCCAATGATATAGGCCATTCAAGCAAGGTTCAAAATATCGTTACATGTCGGCCCATAACGGCCAATACATATTGTATCGTGGCCTTCCCGATATGCCCCTACAGGGGGTGTTTTGGGTCAGACCATGGTTCAGAGGGTAGCCCAGTGTATCGGCATGTATCGATACTTTGAACCTTGCATTCAAGTATGGGTCAACATGTGGCATGACAAGGAGAAGCCACTGATTTAGCCTGTCCAAGTGATGTGCCACTATTATTACATTGATCTATGGCATACAAGTACCCAAATTCAAACTAATCATCTAGGCAACGTGAGTAACATAACAGAATTTGCACCATCCAATGTGTCACTTTATGAAATCAATTGCAGTTCTAGTCATTAGAGTCTTATTTGAGGTTTACGCATATAATGAAGTTGTATTCTTATATTCAATTACGTATGATCTCCTTTCCTTTATATTTCATCATCCAAATAAATCAAAAAGTCCGATCAAATATCACAGAGATGTGAGCATCCCTACACTTCAAAGGGATTGGACTGTAGGGACAAACACAATAGCCTAAAGCTATATCAAATGAGAAAATCCCTTCAAAATCATAATTTTATTGGATGCAATAGTCATTGTGCATTTCTGTTTTGTTTAAAAAATACAAAGAAGTGAAACCAAATTTAACCAAATCCATAGCAACAGAACCAAAACTCAGAGTATATTACGATGAGATGCAAATATAGCCATATTAAATGAACAACACTTTCAATAATCACCATGTATTTGTATTTGGTTCAACAATGAGAGAGCATAACTATTTAAAAAAAAAAAAAAAAAGTGTTTAAAAGAAAGAGGTAGAAGAAAGCACAAGGGCCTTCTAGCCCCAAGGTGTGCACCCTGATGAAGAAAGGTGCACTTTTTTTAAATGAAATAAATAATATTAATAGATTAAAAAATATGAAAACTTGGACTTCAAAAGAAATTAAATGTTTTAAAAAGCTTATTAGCTCAAATCGAAATACATAAGCATAACATATAAAACAAATTCAAAGTGAAAGTAAAATCAAACAAATGGAGATCATACCATGCTTAAAGCACTCAATAATTCAAGCATAAACTTTTAACAAGTCTTTCTATCTCCAAGTTGCATTACTTCAAGTTGCTAGTGTGATATTAGACATCTTGAATTCCTAATCCTGAGAGATAGGAGCATTTACAGTGATAATCTCTTCAAGGACCCTTAAGGCAAGTCCAAACAAGACCATTTGGAGGATTTGGAGGCGTTGCCACTGGCTCAAACTTTTGGCCCATATAGATAAGGAGTTATTTTATTATTTTAATCGCAATTCATTTTATTTTAGGATTAGAGATTAGAGATCATCTGTATTGTTGTTGCTTCTTCAGTAGAAATTTTGCTATTTGAGATGATATCCATAACAACTAAGGCTTTAGGTATTGAAAAGATCTATTTTTTTGTTTCTTCTAAGAATTATTAAACCATTACTAGTGCATGAGCACCAATTAAAGGTAAGTTATAATTAAAAGATCATTAGAAAGATGTAAAACAAATATGCATAAATAAAAAAGTAACCAAAAAAATGCAAACTTAAAAAAATGTGCATCTGACCAAGATGCGATGCACACCAAAAGCATGCCTTTTGAAAGGGCCTGCACCTAGGTTGAAGCAAGGCAAATAGCTTAAAATGTACCTCACCTGTGCACCTAGGTACACTTTTTAAAACACTTAGAAAACCTAGTTTCAATCTAGAGACTTAATCTAATTAAATCCTTAATATTTCCTAGACAACTAGTTTAAGTTCTAATGTAGATAAGATATAGAAAAAAGCAAAACAGTATATAAAATTGTAATATTGGGTGCTAAAAATATAAAATATGCAAAAGTTAAAAGGAAATTGAAGGATTACATCATTTACTTTACCAATTTTGGTTCATATGCATGCATGCGCGCGTGTGTGTGTGTATATATATTTGAAACTGTAAGGTAAAGTATTTCATTAAAATAAAACCGGCTCTTAACAGTATTCAAAAGCATTTACATTGTTCAGTAAAAAACAAAACCAGCTTGCCCAACCAACCAAAGTTCCTTTATGTCCTATCACTTTCACTGGCCTAAATAGTCAATATTCCAGCCTTTGAACACCTTGTCTACAAATGAACTGTATGTCAGATACAGAAACCACCCAAGGCTTCTATGCTATGTCACAATCTAAACATTAAAAGATTATTCTAGGAAAAGTCTCTGATACAAAATTAGCTCCTAGGTTCTCATACAAGTTAATAATTGATCAAAACTGCCATAAGACCGTGCCAAATACAGTTCGTCCTATATACTTCTGAATGTCACTACGAAGTGAAAAATAAGGGATCTTACAAAATATGCCTGACGAATGCAAAATACTAACAGATAGATATGCGAATCTACATCTGATTAATTGAACAATTATCATTCAGATCTATGGGAAACAAGACTAGACTGGTAGAAATGCAATTTTATGAATGATAAACATAGAAAAAAACAATAAAAATGACAGAAATCAAGCTAATAGTTCCATGCACAACGCCAATGTCCAACTGATTCTAGCAATGTAAATATCCAGTTCATACTGTTCCAAATATTTTGCGACTAAAAAACCAAAACTTCGAAAAAGAAATTATCGCAAATATTACCAGCATTGCGGTTGCAGACTCTGTCCTGCTCCCATCAACACGAAGCATTGTACTTAAATCCGTGTAGAACTGGTGAACAAAATCCGGTTGCTGTTGAAGAACTTGATAATACTGCCCAACAAAGTAAGAACCAACCTGCAAAAAAAGGAGCAAGATACAAATAATGAGACATCAACACCATCAAAACAACAATAAGAACACCCAAAAATAAGGTCCTCTTTTCTCGAATACGCCATAGAATCACCTGAACAGCAGTGACGTGAGTCGCCATAATCTCTCTCTACAAAAACATGCAGAGACAAAAGATCTCGAAACCCTAACCCCGCCAAAAACCTAGATCCGGAGTGCTCGAACCGATCTGTAAAACAAATCCTATCCGATTATTTGAAGTTCCAACTAAACCAAAAATCAATTTCTTTTCCTTTTTTCTTCGTTCTTCTTCCGCAATCAACAGTATACCACTGTTTCTACTCAAAAAAAAAATCTGAGATATATCGGATTAGAGAGAGGGGGGTTAGAGAGAGAAACTAGAAAAAAAAAATCTAGAAAGAAGGCGAAGAAAACCTCGCGATTAGATTCTGTGACGATGTTGCTTCACTCTGCTCCACTCTTTTTTTGTTTTTGTTTGTTGTTTCAGCTTTCCTCGCTATCACTTCCTGTTCGCCTAAACCCGGGCGTAATTTAATAGGAAACAACCACCTCCCCTACCACCCATTGCTAACTTGCGCTGTAGGGGTTTCCAGCTTTTCGCATGCGTTTAACTTTTTCCGGTCCACAGTTTGTCTTATGTTTTATTGATGTTACCAGAGCACGTGCGCCACGTTACAACATTTGCACACGAAACACCATCCGTTGGATTTTGAGGATTGATACTGTGCGACGTACAACAACTAAAACACATCGATCCCGATGAATGTAATCCAACGGTTGAAAAAGCCCAGTTTCTTTTATTTCAGCGGAAACAAAAAAATGCTATATAAATTCTTGAATAAAATAATAATCAAGCATTAAAAACGTAAATATTTTTATTAAAAAATTCATTTATATCAATGATAAAACAACGGATGGTGTGTAAAGGAAAGGTAGCTTCAAAAGATGTATAAGGACAAATGGATACAAATAGGAAATTCAAATAAATTCTAAAAACTATATTAATAACAATAAATAAAAATTATATATAACTATAAATAAGACATTAAAGTTTTGAACATAAAAGACACACTTTAATGCTTTATAAAAAGTGTAAGATATTGAGACATAATTGTTAACTATTAAAAATGATAAAAGAATTAAAATGTGTATTTATGTACCTTAATTTTCAAAAAAAAAACAATTCAATTTGTCTTAATATTTATTAATATATAGTTTTTAATAATTAATTTTAGCATTACAAGAAGAGAAAGTTTACTTAAGAATTAAAATGTATAAAATTATGACAAAAAACTTTGAGTAGGGTGTAGTGCTAAATTTAGTCATTACAAACCAATGACCAAAGTTTAAACATTTCTATAACCTAATTCTAGTTTTTATACTCAAAATTGTGAACAATTCAAATTTGGATTTGAAAAGACTTAAATCTAGGAATTACTATAAGAGTTCTTGTGAAGGGAATAGCCCATACTTTTTTTTTATTTTTTAAAATGAGAAAACTACAAAATTCTAAGGTGGTAAGGAAGCAAAAGAGAATAGGTTGATGGGGACAACTACATATTAGAATATTAATAGATTAGAAAAGGGGGAGTCAATATGTAATGAGTTCCCATATGCTAGACCGTTGGTCTAGCAAATTTGCAAGAACGACCTATCACAATTTGCCACGTATATCTGTCCACCTCCAAATAAAAATTTGAATTTCATTCATTTCAAACTTTACCCTTTCCTTTATCTCCACTCCCCTGCTTTGTTCCTCTCTTTCTCTCTCCAGTCTCCCCTTTGCTCATTAGATTTGTAGAAGTGAACCCCATCTTTTCAAGCTCTATCATTATAGGAGAATGGAGAGATAAGGCTGGTTGAGATAATACCAAAGAGAAAGTTAGGGTTTCTTGTTTCAATCAAGTAATGACAATGGTGGTATTAGTTGGCCATCATTGGGAGTGGAGATGGTACTTAAAGCCATCAATGCGGAGGTTGAGAGGAAATGGTTTGGTTGTGATTAGCAACAGATGCAATGGTGGTAGCCTTTGTCCTCAACAATCAATGAAGAGGGACATAAGGGGAAAAAGATGGAAAGTAATGGAAAAACAAAAGCCCTCTCATTAAGCTGATGTTKGATAAATCTGAAATCTGAAGTCTAAAAACTTAAAAAGATATTAAAAGTGTATGAAATTTGARAAGAAATATAAATGTTTTTCTACTTTTTAGAGGCTTGTTTGTTTTGGATCAAACTTTTAACATCTGAAATTCCCTGATTTTGCTATTTTACCCCTAGAATACACTATTTGGCAATTTTGAGCTCAACTTGTACTATTTCAAATAAAATAATTTATCAAATTCAAAATAATATTTAATAATTAATAAAAACAATAAATAATAATTAAYAATTAGTAAAATTAATTATTAATAATATATAACAATAACTAACAATTAATAATGTCAATCATTAATAATTAAAAATGTATAACTAATACATAATATTAAAATAATTAACAACAAATAAAGATTAAAAAGTTAATAAAATTAGTAGTTAATTAATAATCAATAATAAAAACAAATAATTAATTACTAAATATGTAACTAATATCTAATAAAAATATTAAATTAATCAAAAAAGAAAACTAATGGGCCATCTAGAAGTGAAAACCAACTTGATTGAAACAGTATGTTATTTTAGTTTTCCAWCGTGTTTGAGAAGTGAGAACATGTGTTTACTGTCTTGGAATAATCATTGACAATAGTGAAATAAATAAAAGAAAATAAAGGAACAAACATAACATCAAGTGAACAAAATAGTCGATAAATGCCATATAACCACAAGTAGAAAACAAAATATGAAATAAAAATACAGTAAAACAGGTGTTTGATAGAACAATTGTAAACAAATCAAAATTCACATAAACAAATCAAATAAAAAATCTGAATCCTAGGAACAACTGTTTGAAGAAGAAGAAGAAGAAGAAGAAGAAGAAGAAGATACCTTCAACGAGACGAGTGGCGATCTTCAGACGAGACAAGGGTGAGGATGCTCTTCTTTCCCATTCTAGAAAAAAAAACACAAATGGAGAAATGTTTTAGGTTTTGGGGTTAACAAGGGCAAAATTGTTTGAAGAAGAAGAAGAAGAAGATACCTTCAATGAACGAGCGCCAATCTTTTGGGGTTAATAGGGGCAAAATTGTTTGACAAAGAAGAAGAAGAAGATACCTTCAACAAGACAAGTGGCAACCTTGAGGATGCTCTTCTTTCCCATTCCAAAGAGAAAACACAAATGGAGAAATATTTTAGGTTTTGGGTTTAACGGGGGTAAAATCGTGTCATTTCCAAATTTTTSGGGGGTATTTTCAACTTTGGGCTCGCTCTAAATTAAAATGCGTCTAAGCACGTTAAGAGCCAACTGACAAGCTTAAAATTTCATATCTAAAAACAATATTCAGACCCATTTTTCAGAAGCAACACCAAATGGGTATGGTGTCTGAAAAGCAAGTTTTTCAGACACCAAACCTCTGGAAAAGCGTTATCAAACACCCCCCAAGTCCCCTTAAGTCTCTTCTCCACATGGTGCAATGCTRTCAGATGGTTCAGCAAAACTACTGGACAAATGTTCCAACAAATGCATACTCATATGTAATGTATCAGTCCATACACTTAGAGTACCAAACAAAAAGGAACAAAACATGGAATTTCTATGTACTCCCATAGGACTTTGTCAAAACAAAACCGCATAAGCCTGTATCAACTAATACATTACAAAATTTTGAACCTTGAATAAAACACAATAAATTTAGGTTTTAAGGTTTGTTTATTTATTTATAATGATATATGCTTGTTTTTATCAAATGTGCAATACATCATAAAATAGTGGGATAATTACTTAAACTATCCCTAAACTATTTAACAATTACTTAAAGTAGCCCTCAAGTTTAAAACCCCACTTAAGCTACCCTTAAACTTTTAAAAATTCGAGGTTCACTAACATAGTGCCATTAAGATGGACGGAATGGACATAAAGTACATTTTACCCCTAAACTTAAATTTGAGTTTTGTAGATTGGTTCAATTAAAATACTCTCTAAACAAAAAAGGGAAGTTATTTTCTATGGGTTGGATAAGTCCAAAAGTCCATTTTACCCTTAACTTTCATTTTCTTCTTCTTTTCTGTCCCAACTCCCCAATTAATGGAAAGACATATGTATTTTAAAAACAGAGCACAGTGGCAAGGTTTTAAAAACCGACCCAGAAACGGAACCGTTCTGGCCACTGGTTTMTGGTTCAGCGGCTCGACCATCCGAGTCAAACGGTTCGGACAATTTGAGTATTTTAAAAGTGATATGTCATCTTACCCTTTAGATTGGAATATTAGGGTAAGGTGCATATAAATATAAAGAGAAAATAAAGATGGAATGAGAGGTATTTGAGAAGCTGTTGACCGAAAGAGTTTAGAAGAAGAACAAGAAGAAGAAGAAAGAGGAGGGCTTGAAGGTTGCAGCGGCGGTGACTTACAACAACGATGGCGACGGCGACGCCGATGGTGAAAAACGGGAGTAGATATGAGATTTCTCTATTCAGATCTCTCTCTCTCTCTCTCTCTCTCTCTCTCTCTCTCTCGCAAATCTGTCATCTAGAGTCTAAAGACTCTAAAATTCTCTCCCAGATCTCTAAATGTGAGATCTCTCTCACTGTCTCACACATCTCTCTCAGTAGACCTCAGATCCGAGAGATTTTAGATCTTAGATCTGAGAGATCTTCTTCCCTTTTCATTTTGTTGTTACAAGTTAATAAACCACAAACTGTTCTCCGGGTCGAACGATTCAACGGTCAAACCATCCAGGTCAATGATTTGTTGACTAATTCAATGGTTTTTTACTAGAGACCGGGTTTATGGTAAAACGGAACTGGTCACCTGAACGGTTTTCGGTCCAAATGGTCTGACCATTCGGATCAACGATAGCTCGAAAACATTGCACAGTGGTATTGGGGTGAATAAGCAACACAAATCATGAGCCAAAAGGTGTCAGGAATGGATGTCCATCCATCCATTCATTGCAGGCTCACCRGAAAATACCCTGTGGCTTCCCAAATGCAACCATTATTCCAGTTGCTTGCTAAGGCATTAACTTTAGAGCATAGTAGCATCAAGTACTCCATATAGGCTTAATTTTTCCCCCATAACTTATCTTTGGGTAACTCATCACTAGAACTGAAATGTTATTTGTAGGATTTTAGGAAAAAATTAAGAAAAACAAAACCTTTTCATGTTCTTTGGAATGTCATAATTTTATTTAAAAAGTTATCAGTTGTCTTTGTTAGCCATTTATAGCAATGTTAGAAGTGTTATGCAGAAAACTTGATGCAACAACAACCTACAAAGAAAGGAACACTTCTATATCTTCATATAATTCAAACTATAAAGGGATTCCCCACCATCTCATAATGCATATGCCCATCAACCATCATTCATCAATTTTACCATAAAACACATTTATATTATCACACCCATCATTCATATTCTCATAAAAAAAAGGA